CATGGTCCCTGTGTGTGTTGTAAAGTAGCCACCGCTCCAAGATTGCTCTTGTGATGAACTTCAATCTCATGTTTAGTTTATTCATTTGTATTGAGATTGTAGTCCATCACTGGAGCGAGCTTGGAGCAGTAGTTACAATACACGCAGGGACCATGAGGAACAACAGTAGTCACCCTCCAGAAGGAAGGACCATGTAAGCACCAATTCAGAATTGATTTGAGGGTCTACAGCTAAGTGATACACAAATAAGATACAGTATTGTTAATAGTTAAGGTACTTGAATGACTTGAATGCATTTTTAAGATTTAACTCCTGAGTTTAGTTTTACTTTAAAGCTTCAACACTTTCAAGAAGTATGGGAGATTACCATTGAGCATCACCTCCACACGTTCCTATAGGTCTATCATAATAATTGGCATAGACATGCATAGAGAAGACAAGCAGAGGTGAACAAGATTTGGCACTATTAGGATTTGACAAAGCTTTACCTGTCAGAATGTCCTGTAAAGGAACATCTAGGTTCCTATACTTCATACCAGCAGCAGTTTACACCCCCTGTACCCAGTGACATGGTCTCTTTAAACTAAACTAATAATAATTTGCCTGTTTTTTTCATAATTCAGTTGACCTCCTGACCCCTGTGACTGGGTCTATTTAAACTAAAGTAGACTAATTTATAATTGTCTGTATTCTTCCAGCTTTTAAGCTTAACATGTATGAGTGCAATGGTAATATTTTTCAAAGCAGTCTTAATTCTGCTTATAAAATGTCTAAACACATACCTATGTGAAATCAAGGGCTGTATTATTTTAATATAAGAGTATGTGCATACCGGTACCTTTTACTATTGTTTTTACCTAATTTTAAACCTTTTTTTATTTTTTTTAAAGCGGAAAAAACATATCAATCTACTTTTTTGTAAGTAATTCAAATGCTAGCCTTATTTCCTCAGAAATTATAAACACTACATACAAATATAAGCATTGGTTTAAAGGAGATATTTAAACTATAAAATACATTTATTCTTGCTTTTTGTGATAAAATAAATATATGTATGTATAGGGTAACCTACTTCTCCGGTAGGAATCCTGATATGTACAGCTTGATGGTTTAATATAAATATAATTTATATAATGCCCTGATAAATCTTTGCTAATACAATATTTCAATATTTAAAGTTAACTGTTAATTCGCATTAAGTATATATATATTTTTTCTTTCAGCAGCAATATCAGTGCATACTGAAACAGTATGCATTGTCTTACGAATGTCTTTCTTGCAAAGTACAATAAATTTGACAGAAATGTTGCCCAGACAAGACAGTAGTAAAATTAATTTTTCTATTTACACAATGCTTACTCATTGGTTCTGGAATGTTTTGGAATACAAATACTAAGAAGTAGCATGATAGAAGTCAGAAGTAATATAAGATGTAAATTCAGGTGACGTTGTTTGGAAGAAGCCAGAATCACTTTGTCCAACCAAACTTTAACTACAGTACAACATTTAACAGTCTATGTTTATTCTTCAGTAGTATCAGTTATAGTGACACTAAACTCAGGGGCTAAATCTTATAAATGCATCATAGTACCTTAGCTATTAACAAAAATGTATCTTATTTGTGTATCACTCAGCTGTAGATCCTGTAGATCCTCAAATCAATGAATTCTTGCTGACATTATCCTTCCTTCTAGAGGGTGACTACTTTTGTTCCCCATGGTCCCTGTGTTTGTTGTAGAGTAGCCGCTGCTCCAAGCTCACTCCCGTGATGGACTACAAGCTCACGTTTAGTTTATTACTTTGTATTGACTTTATAGTGTATCACGGGAGTGAGCTTGGAGTGGTGGCTACATTACAAAACACACAGGGACCATGGGGAACACAAGTACCCACCCTACAGAAGGAAGGATACTGTGAGCTCCAATTTAGAGATGATTTGAAGATCTACAGGTGGGTGATACACAAATAAGGTAAAGTATTGTTAATAGTCAAGGTACGGAATGCATTTTTAAGATGTAACTCCTGAGTTTAGTGTCACATTAAGAAATAGTAAAACAAACAAACAAACATGCATGAAGCTGAATTGCATTTTAACCTACACTCAAAGTGTGATCAAATTGTCATTAAAAAAAAAATGCTCCAAAACTAGTACATTATTTTATTGTGTAAGCGAATCAGTTTGTGTGCTAAAGCAACATTCTGGAAAATGAATGCCCCTCAGCAGTAGCCACTGATATCACTAACAGTTAAATTGTGACCACTTATAAAAACCAAGTAAATTAATTAGGATAGTTTCCTGAAACAAGGATCTTTTCACCTTGAGTTAGTCACTAGCACACTTTATAGTGAACCTATGTTTTTCCAGACAATGCAAAACAACAGGTTCACTTTAACTGAGCCACTAGCCCGGTCATCAGGAGCGAAAACAGCCCCCCTATTCTATGAGTTTATGAGATTTTCTATTGAGAGCGCTCAATAACCAAGCACCATTGATGTCATGTGGGAAAAAAAGGGAGCAAAAGTACATGCTCCCCATACCTGGAAATGCCAGGTATTCTTTTCATCCCTGGAAATCAAACAGAGGATCAGTGGGGGTAAGGGAATCATAAGTTGCTGACGGGGTTGTGCTTAAAGGAACTTTCTTTTTAATTAGCACTTAAGCCATTATTCTAAGAGGTTCTCCAGAAGAAAACAAAACTATCACCTTTTGGGGATATAAAATATATGCCAGCTCCCTAAGCAAATTAAGTTCTCTATACACTGAGTGGCCAGATTATTATGACCACCCCATCAGTACTTCGTTGTGCCATGAGATGACTCCACCAGATGACTTCGTTGGGCCGCCTCTTCGTTGAAAGGTGATGCGAGGAATCTGACACTGCACTGTTGCCCTTCTGTTGTCTTGTACCAGTCTTGCCACTCTCCGTTCTGCCCTAACATTGACTAGTCGCTGACGGCCACAATTCGCACGTTCAGACCCAGATTTTCAGCTGACAGTCCAGTCTTTAAACACTTTAACAACAGCTGCTCTTGAACATATAGCTAATTTGCCTACAAACGTCAGGTGGTCATAATAATCTGGCCACTCAGTGTATATTAGAATTATTTATTCTTTTCTGGAGAGCTTAGTCAATGATGGAACTAGTGCCATAGAATTCTATGCAGTGTCTCTACTGTTACCTGCCAACTACAAGCCTCCTTTGTTGACTAGTGGAGGGATGGCCATAAGTACACAGGCCATGTATCTGTGCACAGCTACAGAAGTACAGAGTGCGTACATACTTCAAGCACGCCTTAGCCAATAGATGAGAGAACCATTAGTTTACTCTTGGTAACTGACTGGGACTACACAGAGGGTTCTGTCCCAGTCAGTTACTCTTGGTAACTGACTGGGACTACACAGAGGGTTCTGAAGCAAATGCTCTGTGCTCACAACCCAATGGCAACTATGGCTGCATGAGGTGGAAGGAACTCTGGGTGTGGAGCTCAAAGCATTTTAAGTTATGCCCTTGGGGCAAATTAAAACTAGACACCTGTGAGGGAGTGTGCACTAAAAACTGAATTTCCTTTCATTAATTTACATTCATCTCAAATATACAGAATCTCCCGTCATCCCTAGGGCTAGTACATATGCATCTATTGTTGACATTTTCCTGATCTAAGGACCCTGCCTGTGCTGACATGTGCCTCTGCTCCTGGTGAGCCACTGTCAGTCACTTCCCATGGAGGACTAGCCAGAGGTGGATCTTTTGTCTTTCTTGTTCTCTCATCACACTGTAGTCCCATCCCAGAAGTGCGCACAAATGGGTGGCTCCATGCAGCCTTTCTAGAGATTTAGGGGATAACACATACAGGCAGCATCAACATATAACCCCACGCACAAAAAGGTGGCTTTCTGGGACCCTAAAAGGGAAAGAATCCTAAAATCCAGATGTTGGGCCCAGTGCTCAGGAGACCATCTGATTATAAAAGAAAGCAAGCTTTACATCATCAAGGTGTTGTATACTTGCTAAGTTATTCAGCAGCATTTTAAATATCTAAAAATAAATAAGCTTTAATATGACTTTACCTTATATTTGTCTTTTCTGACTTACAGTACAACAATTTTCACACGGCTACATGTGCTATCTATGCCTACTTTGTTACCTGCTTCTTCACAGTGATACAGAACAAGATTAATCCGTTTTAAAGATAAAGTAGACAAATAAATGGCATAGTTTTTGGTGTTGTTTTCATTGATGGAAGTGCTGTATATAGCTTGTGACAGCTTCTGCTGCTTCACATAGGCACTGGTGACCATTTTCAGTTTATCAGTCTCAGGTACAGCCAGAAAGGACACTGAATTTTGCTCCACGAACTGAGCATCTATTACCTTTTATGTGGAGAACAGTGTTAAAACCAAGGGTGCTTTTTATTTATCATTTGTAAATCTGGGGCACAGTGACCCTGACAGCATACATTGCATTTTGACTTATTTTAGTGCAATGGACTATCTATTTATGTTGCAGAACAAATATGCAACATGCTATATTTATTATTTTAATATTTATTAAGTTGTGTTTTGCACCAGTGCCACTGATTGTTATCTATTATCTTATTACTCTAGTGTAGGGGTAGGCAACCCATCATGTATCTGCCTCTGGGCGTCATGTCTGAGGCTGTCAGAGTCTTGCAATGGGACTTGTAGTTCTACAACAGCTGCAGTGCAGATATTGCCTACCTCTGGTCTAGACAAAGGTGTGGGTGAAGATGTTCAACTACCTATAAGAGGAGTTTATGATGCCCATTAAAATTACCATCACATTACAATACACAGGCCGGATGCTTTCCGGGTCTGTTGGTAATCTTAGTATGAACACCCCCTCCTATGCTTTATTTATAGAACACGCTTTACATACAAGAAAGCTAACTGATAATATGTTCTGCTTCTGTGTACGGGCTGATACCATATGACACAAATATCGGGATACTTTAGATGCAGTCCAGAACTGCATCTATTAGCAGTATGATATGCTCAAAGCTTCTTAACACCAGTAGAAATGATAACGGTACAAGCACTGTGAATAATAAAGGTTTCACTAATAGTTAAAAGGATGAAGCTGCTTGACGGTGTCTGCTTCTTGGCTTTAAATTGCCTTTTTAGGACAGTGGTTAAGAGATAGCTGTTTACTGTCTGTGTCTTATCCATATTAAAGCACTTGTATCAATTCTCCAGGGTTGTTTTTTTTCCAGCACACTGTACTGCTTAGAAGTACCAGTCGGGCTGCACGGTGACCTCACTCTGATTTAGAGCTCGCTCTCGTAGCTTCATTTCTAGGCATTCCAGTGTCGGAGGATAAGATTTCAGTTCAAACTTGTTGGCAAAAATACTATTGGCATTAATTAACCACTGCAAGTCCCCTGTTCCATAGATACAGATATCCCGAATGTAATGGCCTAGAAAATAAGGGAATAATAGCATTAAAACATGTTTTCAATTGTCTTGACAACAGATCACAGTAACAAATCTTAAAGTAACACTAAACTCAGTTAAACCTAAAAAATGCATTTAAGTCCCCTAACTTTTAAGAAAAATGTAGTTTATTTGTATTTCACTCGACTGTAGATCCTCAAATCATCTCTGAATTGATGCTGACACTGTCCTTCCTTCTGGAGAGTGGCTACTTTTGTTCCCCATGGTCACTCTGTGTGTTGTCGAGTAGCCACTGCACCAAGCTCACTCCTGTGATGGATCCTACATTTAGTTTACTAATTTATATTGAGATTGTAGTCTGTAGGTAGTCTAAATCTTGAGTTTAATATCACTATAATCATTTGAAATCTGTTAGGGCTAGTTCACACCAGCCACAGTGCGTTCCGGCCCGATTGGGGCCGGAATGCACTGGATCGCATTCCGGCTGGCTCACATTGTTTTGGGGTGAGAGGGGGCGTGGTGGTGCATTGAAGTCAATGGCACCGTAGCTTCGTCCTCCGACCGCAATGCGATCACCTGAACATGTGGCACATCAGTGCCTGCGTTCCGGTCTGGTGCAGTCAGAAAATGCTGCAAGCACTATTTTTTCTGACTGCACCAGACTGGAACGCAGGCACTGATTGCAGTCGATCGCATTGTGGCCGGAGGGCGTGGCTGTGGTGCCATTGACTTCAATGCACCCACGCCCCCTCCGCCCCAAAACACAGTGAGTCCACCGGCACTGGTTGACAATTCACAAATCTGTGACGATGTTGCATACCTAATTAGTTACATAGTAGGTAAGGTTAAATAAAGACACTATTTCAATGTGTGTGTGTGTGCGCACGTGTATATATATCTATATAGATATATCTAGATCTAGATATATCTAGATCTAGATATATCTATATAGATATATATATATACACGTTGCTAACAACTCCCATATTCCTGTATATTCTGTGACTTGAGAAATTAATCCCAGTGTTTTTTTGAAGTTATCAATGCTTTCAGCTGAAACCGCTATCTAGGAAATTCTACAGTTTTTCTAGTCTGATAGTAAAAAAACACTTACGCAGTCTGAGATTAAACTGCATCTTGTCCAACTTCCACATCCAACATGCACATGTGTCATTTTCAGAGATCTTAGTTTAAACAGTATATTCCCTAATACATTTAAACAAAAAACACTGAACCAATGCCTACTAATGAATTTGCAACACTATTTAAATGTCCTGTGCTAAACAATTTCTAAGAGAATTCTTGAAACATTCTTTCTTTTACTTTTAATTCATTAATTTTTATTCTTCATTTTATTTCCAGATCCTTCCAGAGAGCAAGCATTACAGTTTATTTTATTAACTTTGTTCCTACCTATAGCTTTCCCGAGGCAGGAGAAAAACAAATATATGAAATGTTGGGATTACAATGATTTTTTTTCTCCCACTTGTTTAATAAAAAGTGAATAAGTGAATCCCTCATTCAACCCATTTGGTGCTTTAGAATTTAATCTGAAATTCCCCTTCACTTCAGTTTGAAGAAGAATCTTGTCTAAGTCTCCTTTTCGGGGGACTAACGTCTTATCTTGAATTATCCCAAATTTGAAACAGTCTGGATGATCATTGTATTCTGCCAACAAATGTCTCATTAAAGTCACATTTCTTCATATTAGTATATCATTAATATATCTAAGGATCCGTCTTCTAAACTGTCCAATTGTTATACCTGTATATAGCTTACGGCATGGGCACTTTGCTGTTGTGCTCCTGTGGTTTTTTCCAACTACGATTACTGCCTGACACTTGGTAGTACACTTCCTACAAGTTGCTAACCTGGCATTTCCAAGACTCCTTCTCAGCCTGTCATATTGGTTTCATCTTGCCTGAATGTTGCAGACCCTGACTTGTTCCTGGACTCTTCTCGCTGGTGACCTGCATCTCCTGTCACCTCCAGCCATGAGATGACTGGACTAACAAGTTCCATTGACATCAGTGGCATCATCATCCACAGGCACTTAGGCCTATGCTTAATCCATGCACTCTCTGTCCCAGTACCCAGGGGTATTTAGACTGGATCAGCAAGAGAGGAAACTCTTGTCATCTCAGGATCCCATCAAGGTACGTGACACTTTTATTAATTTAGTATTGTTTTAATAATGTACTTTTAACTGATGACTACACTACAAAATAGATAGCACTGCAGATCCCACTGCAGTCTGAAGGTGGCATTGTTCATCTGTAGGTGACTAGAAACAGCATAGGTTGTGGGTTCTGCCCTTCCTGTGCCCCCTTCCTGCTAAAACATCCAAGGTAGTTGACTCTTCTTCCTTTCTCTCAGCCCGGCCCCTGCATGCAATTACACCATTGTGACTGATGCCAGAGCTTTCCGTAATTCAATTCCTGCCCAGCAGTTCTTGACTGGCAACTGGCTTTGGTAGGGAGGTAATGACCCACTGCAGCTTCTGCCCACCCACAAACCTGGCCCTGCAGAGACCTAGAACAGAACACTGGTCACATGTTTGCAAACTAAAACCAGAATAAAATATGCAATCAACTATTTTGATATATGATATTAAAACCAAATATGCATGTTTTTTTTAACATGTATTTTACCCGTCTCTCTAAGTGTTCAATTATACCATTTAATAAGGTGACAAAGAAACTCTAAGGGGGTTATTCACTAAGCTGCTGAAGGCAGTTGAGTGAATTGCCAAGCCGAAGTGAAGTGAGCCGAACGCCATTCGGCTATTCACTTCAGCCCTGTACGGCTGATTTCAGCAGTACATTGGCTAAAATCAGCCGTACATCGACTGGCTCTGGAAAGCCGAAGTGATGAAGCTGTCCACTCCATCATCTGGATCGGTTGAGCCGAACCTCCGGCAGTTCACTCGCTGGCGTTCACTCATATGCTCATAGCGGCCGAACGTCAGTGAAAGAATAGCCAAATGCTGCTGAGCAGCATTTGGCTTGGTTATTCTGCTCGCTACCACCGAGGTAGTCATACCAGGCTCTTTAAGTCTGGTAGGAATTTTAAGGAGGAACCCCAAATGGGGAAAAAAAAACGTGGGGTCGCCCCTACAATATTCCCCTTGGAAAAGCACCTTGTCCCCGTGCCAAACGGGGACAATGGCCTTTCCCCACAAGCCCTGGGGCGTTGGTTGTGGGGGTCTGCGGGCAGGGAGGGTTATTTGCATCGAGGTACCCAGATGCTGCTCCCTTGTGAATGAGTAAGGGATACTTGTAACCCTGCTCATTCACTAAAGGGTTAACAGTACAGTAAAAATAAACAAACCAGATGTTTGAAAAAAAATCCTTTAATTGAAAACAAAAAACAACAAAAATGGATCCAACTACATAATCCAGGGGTCAATCACGGCGTCCAGCGACTTGTCGAAATAAATACCCCGACGCCCGCCAACCCGACCGCACGTGACAAACTCCCGCCGCAGAATGAAGAATCTGACAGATGCCAGCAAAATATAAACAATGGGTTACATTTGTCCGGCACCTGCCAGAGTCTTCCCGCAGGTCCCAGCCAAATCATGTGATGTCACGGCTGGCTCCACCCAGTTGTTGTCATTCAATGACAGCCCAGTGTCCTCAAACGACCTGAGGATACTGGTGTGTCATTGAATGACAACGACGGGGCGGAGTTATCATTTGCAGGGAAAACGGTATGCTTCGGCAGACCGTTCTTCCCCGCTCCGGCTGTGACTACAGCTCAGACGAGCCGAATGCATATGCGCTCGGCTGAGCCATTTGCCTGCCTTCAACTAACCAAAGGGCTTCGGCGGTCGAAGTGAGCTGTAGGATCAACCCAAGCTATTGCTAGATCCTTCGGCTCCTTTGTGAATAACCCTCCAAGTTTTTACATTCTCCTGCACTTGATCAGAAGTCAAAACAGGTTTACTTCCGCTCATTTCAGACTTCAGAAATCCCACCCTTGGTTTTCAAATTAAAAGTGTTCAGTACTAGGTATAAAAGTGGACCTAGTAAAAAAGGAACAAAGCAAACATGGATCTCCTAATGATAAAATGCTGTATAATTAAAAGACATGCATTCCAGTATTGCTCTCCAGGTTGCCAAGCCAGGCTGTAATTGGATCTTTTCTTCTTATGAATTTCAGTGTCAGCATGCAAGGTATGTAATGGTAAAAAGCAGAGGGGAAAATGGAATCCCCATGATGAAATGGGGTTGGATTCGGGAAGTCAATGGAAGAGACTTCAACAGATGAGTTTTTCCTAAAAAGAAGAGACGGATGCAACTCATCACCGTCTACTAGAAACTGAAATATCTCTTCTGGGTACAGGTCTCCTGTCCTATAGACACCATGACTAAGGACTGTAAATAAAGTACCCTTTATTATGAGTTTGATAGTTTTTTTATATCGATTTTGAGTAGTTAAATAATGAAATCGTATTTTGCAGGTATGGAGTTTTCTGTTGGCATAACATAACTGTGTTTGCACTGCCCTGAGATAAATGTTTTCTCCTGCTGACTGCATAAAGTGACTCACACAGGTCTTATTCCCCAGACGCTAGCATACTATAAACACATCCGTAGGGTCTCTCACAAAGGAATACTTGATTATTCCCTTGATGTCAAAACTGCTATGGAGATAAAACATAAGATTTTGCAGAGCACAATTTGAATTATATTTCCTCTGTTATTTATATTCTAGTATAAATCTGCTCTGCTTTCCTTTTAACAAACGAGTATGATGCAGGAGAAAAATTCTGCACAAAAACATAAGCATTACAAGTAGTTCCTAAAATAGTTTGCAGTGGGAGAGGAGAGTTTAAAGCATAAGTCTTGCCAAACTTTATTTGTATGTTTTAGATTGAGTTGGGGAAGAATTAGAACTAGGGATGCATTGATACAATTTTTTCCTGATTGAGTATGAGTAACGATACTTTTCTTCTAGTACTCGCCGATACCAATTACCAATACTTTTTTTTTTTAGTACAGCACTAGAGCACCAGGTCCCGATTGCATATATACAACTGCTGCGACCCTGGTAGTTATGCCACTGACTCTGAGCTGTAGAGGGACTACATATCTCAGCAAAACAATTATACAGCAATGCAGAATACCACCAGCCAGAAAGGACTACAATCCCAGCAATGCATTATACAGCAATGCAGAAAAATATGAAGCTAGATACTCTGTGTTGCTCACCAGGGCTGTCGGCATCTCAGGAGCCTGTGCGGGATCTCGCAGGTGCGGGCAGCGGGAAGGCAGAGGAGATGTTCGGCTGGCACTGCAAACTGCCACGAGGTCCCCACAAGGCTGCCACGAGGTCCCCAGCAAGCACGGAACCTTACGGCAGCCAAATGTATTTTAACATTTTAAGCACCGGTGTCGGCACTCAGTATTGGGGCATTTTCACGAGTACAAGTCAGTATCGGCACAGATACCGATACTGCTATTGGCATCCCTAATTAGAACTTCTTTTGGGTTTCACTATTCTTGGGGTCTCCGTTAGAGTTTATTGTCACGGTGACAAAAGACAAAGACAGACAGGAAGAGAGTGAAAATCTGCAATACACACACAGACTGCAATTAAAAGCTGACAGGAGTTGCCTACTCAGGGCAGATTTTTCTGTAAGAAATACCCCCCATTGCCTGATACTCGCCTTCCCTACACTTGATTCCTTCCCTGGAGCTCTGAATCTTAACTCTCGGTTGAGTTCATATTGGATAAGGTTGGAACCTAAACAGGGTCAACTTCCTTCTTCTCCTCTTGGTCAGCTGACAGTGTTCAGGTCTATTGTCATAGACAGGGGTCCATATAAAAAGGGAGAGAGACAGTTCAGGCAATACAGGAGCATACCTATGGTTACTTGGATATGCAGGTGTTTCAGAATAGCTCATTGTGCATTGAAGTCACAGGATGCTCTGGGGTCAATGGGTAACATATTGCTGTGTATGCACAGCAGTCACAGGGGACACTGGAGACACAGAAGTTACTGGAGCCACAGGAGCGCTAGGGTCACTGGAGACTTAGGAAGTCACAAAAAAGTGCAGGGGTCTCTGGAGACACAGGAGAGCAGTGGTGACAGGAACCACAGTCACTGGAAGCATGGAGAACACATTGGAGGCATGGGGGGTGAAACTGAGGAATGCCTAGCCCTTTAGGGTGGCGCCCAAAAGCTTCAGTGGCCGTTCACCAGAAAAAAGACCTGGCATTTGATCGGAGATGAGGTGGGTATGACGTCTGGTGATTAGATGCTCAGGTCTCAGCAGTGCATCTTGGGAGAAGATAACATGTTCCTTCATAGGACAGGATATTTACCGCAAGCAAGGGAAGGTAGAAAGTACTGTGGCCGAGATTGCAACAAGTTATGTATGCACATTCCAGCCTTGTGTATAAATAAGGGGAGTACTTTTTTTTATCTCAGGGAAAACAATGGCAGTCCTCTGGAAAAGTTCTTCCCCACGGATTGCCCTGTCCCCTAAGAATGCTTGCTCCTGGGGATACCTGTCTTTGTTGAAGTGGGCCTATAGACATACTATCACTGCCATTCAGAAAGTAGCTGGCTGCTCAGCTGAAAAGCCAAGGAGAGTCAGGAGAATTTCAGAAAATAAGTCATTATCTTTATACTGGAATGCTACAATGCATTTCTGAGGTATTTTACTGTCTCCGCAGGAAGAGGCTGCTAACAAAATAATACACAAGTAAGAATCGCAATTTGTTCTCGTTACATGCATTCTGAAATCATTTATATTGTATTATATAATTTGATGCGCTATCATGTTTCATACATCAGATAGTAATGAAAATAAAGGAAAAATTACCATGACAACCGCCGTGGTCGTTCATGTCTCTCCACTTAATTGCTCTGAGGTCACCTTCCCATTGCCCATCTGGCATCGATCCCGGTACATCTAAAATTGAAAACATATCACATTAAATCGATCATTTTGAAAGTAGAATGCTTCCAGCATGAGTGTTATAAATGATGTTTGCGAATTACCTATTGTCATTCATTATACGGTCCTTGTACAACAACTTTCCATAAATTGTTGGGGAAGAGAAATAATCAACAATTGGCCTTAAATACTGTATTTTTCGCTCCATAAGACGCACTTTTTTCCCCCCAAAAGGAGGGGGAAAAAGTGCCTGCGTCTTATGGAGGGAATCCCGACGCCCGAGACATGCAGTTTCGGGCGCCGGGCGAGTAGTAGGAGCCACTGCTCGTTTAATACGAGTGATCTAACGAGATCACTCGTATTAAAGCCGAGCAGCGGCGGCGGCGATCGAGTTCAGCAGCAGGAGCCACTGCTCGTTTAATACGAGTGATCTAATGAGATCACTCGTATTAAAACCGAGCAGCGGCGACGATCGAGATAACCATAGAGCAGACGAAGAATAGACGTTCTTCGCCTGCTCTGTGTCATCACTGAGACCGTGGCGCTGTAATCACAGCGCCACCTGTCTCAGCGGTCACTAACTGCAGCTTCTGTCACAGCTTCTGTCATAGAAGCTGTCACAGAAGCTACAGTCTCGAGTGCTCCATAAGGCGCGCCGGACCTCCCTGCGTCCTATGGTCCGGTGCGTCTTATGGACTGCAAAATACGGTATTTGAAATAAATAAATGGTAAGCCATAGCTAAGCAGGCTTTTCTGCTCACACTTGGCATCTTCACCAAATAACTTTGGTATTAAATAGGGCTGGTAATGATTAAACTTTTTGTGTTCGATTAATCAAAATTTTTTTTAATCGATTAATTGATTAATTTCGATTAATTATAACGCACATACAGATCTAACTACATTGGCCTATACAAATAAAGCACAGCAATGAAGTAATAAAATTAACTAGGATCACACTAATCCAGCACGTTATTAATCTCACGTGGGGCAACTCAGAATAATAACGTGCTGGATTAGTGTGATCCTAGTTCATTTTATTACTTCATTGCTGTGCTGTATGTGTATAGGCCAATGCCTTGGCTGGCGCTCGTGCAGAGTTTAAAAAAAAAATTAATCGATCAAAAAGATTAACGATTAATCGAGAAATTAATCGTTAATTTGCACAGCCCTAGTATTAAATAGTAACTCTAAGTAAGTAGATATAAAATGAATGCCGTTATGAAAATATAGATTTGAACAGTAGTTTGGGCTTTTACCTATAGTTCTCCTAAGGGTAACGGGAGGACACAAACTAGCGTCCTCCCATCACCCAAAGCTCAGTACAACGTGAGCTACAGCTCGGAGTATACTGAGACGCCGCAGCTGAAACGGATCCCAACAATTATGTCTGGACAATTATGTCTGGATCCACCCAGCTGCGTGAGTGACAGCTGGCTCTGCCTATCTAGAGGCATCGAGAAGTGAGCGAGCGCCGGTATGTGTTCGCTCACTTCCCGATCTAGAACTATGAGGATGAGTGAAAATCACTCACCTCATAGTTCTCCTTTAAGTAATCCTCAGACTCCAAATGTGTTTTCTAATGTGTCCGCATTGGAGAGATTTCCCATCACTTCCTGTCTTGACAGGAGGAAGGGGAAATCTCTCCATCAGGGCAACATAAAAAAAAATCACACAGAGGCTCTAACCCTACCGTACTCTATCCCCCCTCCAAAAAAAACGAGATTGGTTGAGTAAGCTGAAGTTTATTTTTTGTGCTTGGAAGGATAAAGCACCAAACACATTAGATATGTGTAATGGTGTGTATCCCCTTACCTGCAGCTTCTGCTACTTGTAAAACCTCCCCTTCAGGCCCCCTTCACAACCGTCGGATATTGTTCTCAGTGGCTGTCTTCCGGCATTGTGTAAATCTGCAGAGAGTCTAGTCTACATAGTTGCTACCCCCTGCCCGCTCACCATTCACAGAGCTGGTATTACAGTTATCCCATAATGCATCACAATCTGTGAATGGAGGAGGGACAGTGCAATGGCAGAATCTCCTCCTCCATTCACAGAACTTGATGCATTGTGGGATAATAGTAATACGAGCAGTCTGAATAGCAGTTAGGGCAGAGGGAGGTGGGCCAATGGCACAACTTTGCAGAAAAATGCCTTCCTGCCCCCCAGTGCACCCTCTGTACTTGCTAAATCTGACTTAGATATAACTCTCTCATTTTGGATTTGTTTCTCTGTGAAAATGTAAGCCTGTTTAGTCTAAATTATTTTATGTTGAAACTAATATCATTAGTTATCCTGTCAATTGTTATTGATCTGGCATCTTCACCTTAGCACTCCACATAGAACCTAGAACCATTTATATCAGAACTTGTCACCAAAGGAGCATAAAATCTCAGGCCCTATCCAAACCATTCATGCACGTTGT